GTTAATTTTGTTGATGAAGAATTTTTATTTGTTAATTTTGTAAAAGAATAATTTTTGGTTTTTCTTTTTTTGAGTTTGTTGAAGAAAAATGGGAATATCACTAATCTCTTGAGGATATAAAATAAAAATACGTATTTTCGTAGAAATATGATTGGAAAGCATAGGGAAAACTCATTAGTCTCGACGAGATCGTGCTAACCCTTCTTTTATTGTTTTTCTCTGACTCAGAACGCCATTAACAGGGCATACAACGAAACTGGTGTTATTAAACATGCCACGAAAGGTGTGTATACACCACCATATTTCATAATCACGTGCACCACCATATTTCACAATCGTGTGTACCGTCATTTTTTTAAATCTCTGCATTTTACGTAACCTACCAAAACTTCAATTTTTCACCATCGAAAATTATAATAACTGTAGTTACTTGTTATCAGGAAGTAGTTTAAAGAGATACTCTGAGAGATTTCAACCGTCGAATTGCATAAGAAAGTCTCACAGAACGATAGAGGATAAAATAAGATACCCTTTTCAACGATTAAATTTGAACAATAAAATTGCAGATATATGTGACAAGTTTATATTACGCTTTTACATACTGTTCTCAAAAATCATTTTCAGGAATTCAATCCATTTAATTATATAATAACAGAGAATTCCTCCTGGTACAATATTAATTATCGAACTTTCAAATAGGAAATTATTCGTATTTGAAAAAAATTTCAAAAATTTCTTTAGTCTTTTACAAAATAACACGGTGTCCTCTATAAAAATTGTCACCAATTAGAAAATGAAAAATCACTTCACAGTAAGAAATTGTTCACATGTAAAAAACAATTTCAAACACTTCCTTACAATCATCCAGAGAATCTATACTTCGGTAATGAAAATTCTCAGTAACTACGAATTAGAACATCATTTTACAGTGGAATTAAAAAATTTCACACTGAAAAATATGTATAAACACAATTTCAAAATTTTCGTTACAATCTTCTACAAAATAGCACAATGTCGTCTATACTTTTGAAATACAAAATTTTCATTAATTACAAATTTAACATACTTTCACGGTGAAAGAATTATTCACATTTGTGACAATATAAAGTTATAAAAAATAAGATAATAAAAGTAATAAAAATTTTCATTAACTACAAATTAAAAATGGCTGCACCTTGCATCGAATGATTCCACGCTATAAAAGTCCTTCACATTCGACGATGGTTTTGTGAAAATCGGTATCGTTGGAAATTCCAGGCGAAACTTTCACGAAACAGTAAACAATAAAATGAGATACAGTTCCCTGGAGATAATAGGGTGAACCTGCGCGCTGGATTGTTGGAGAAAACACGTGGCCCGTGTCGCGTAAACATAGGAGTATGATAAATGGAAAAATCGTTGTTCCTGTTGCATAACATTATCATTACGTGAAAGCGTTCACCAGGACAGAATGATTGCATATAGGCGTAGAATTTGACTCGATGCACGTGCTAGAATGGTTGCACGCCCCGTTAATTTCTTCCGCATGTCTGACTTTGCCTTTTTTTCTTTTCTTTTTATTTTGCTTCTTTGCAATATAAGCAAAACGTTCAATCTACGGTAAATTCTTTTTATTCGTGTGCGAGGCCTGACCGAATTATTACATCGATATCGTGGATCAACGAAGGCGGAAGAAGGATGAAAGTTGATTAGTACGAGTTTTTGGCGAGCGTTCCCTCGCTTGAATGAAATTTAAAGTTGTCCTTTTTTTTTGGCTGCAAAGAAGTGGTGATATGATGGATAAGAAGTTGAGAAAGAAATTCCATTGAATAGAAGAAATTTGGATTATTTAACTTGAATATTTAGGTATGAATCTTGAATGCTCGAGTTTGAAAATTGAGTATTTCAATTTTGAATACTTGAAAGTTGAATGTCTGAAATCTCGGTGTTTAAAGCTCGAATGTTTGGAATTTGAATGCCTAAAGCTTGGATGTCTAAAATTTGAATACCAAAAACTTGAATGCTAGAAATTACAATGCAAGAAATTTGAGTGCTTGAAATTTGAATGTGTAAAGTTTGAATGTTTAAAATTCGAATACTTGAAATTTGAGTGCTTGAAATTTGAATGCTTAAAGTTTGAATGTTTAAACTTTGAATACTTGAAATTTGACTGCTATAAGTGTGAATACAAAAAACTTGAATGTCAGAAATTACAATGCAGGATATTTGAGTGCTTAAAATTTCAATCTTTAAACTTTGAATATTTGAAATTTGAATGCTAAAAATGTGAATACCAAAAACTTGAATGCCAGAAAGTTGAATGCTTGAAATTTGAATGTGTAAAGTCTGAATGTTTAAAATTCGAATACTTGAAATTTGAGTGCTTGAAATTTGAATGCTTAAACTTTGAGTGTTTAAACTTTGAATACTTGAAATTTGAATGCTAAAAATGTGAATACCAAAAACTTGAATGCCAGAAATTACAATGCAAGATATTTGAGTGCTTAAAATTTCAATCTTTAAACTTTGAATATTTGAAATTTGAATGCTAAAAATGTGAATACCAAAAACTTGAATGCCAGAAATTTGAGTGCTTGAAATTTGAATGTGTAAAGTTTGAATGTTTAAAATTCGAATACTTGAAATTTGAGTGCTTGAAATTTGAATGCTTAAAGTTTGAATGTTTGAACTTTCAAGTAAAAATCTGAATTTTTAATTTTAAATTCAGAATTGTGTAACTAAAGATTTCCAATATATGTACACAGGCACATAATGTACATAAATTAAAGTAAAGATAGTTCAACCAGCGAAACAAGTTTGGGCAAGCCTGTTGATAGCATAATATTAGGCTTAATTATGCATACACTTCTAGTATACCTAATACTATTTTACTGTTTAACTGGTTTCATTAAAATGTACATCTTAAAAATTTCACGAAAGCAGTAGAACATGTACTTAATGGCCTAAGATGAATTTGCGTACCTATTACGAAACACTTAATTAATAGAATTTATCGCTAAAACGTGCATTTTTTGATTTGTACATTCTGGAATTTTATATATGTATATGTAACTCCGTTTAAATTCAATGTCGCATAGTAGGGATTGGAATTTCACCTAAATTCCTTCAATTAGCTAATTTTCAATCACAAATATACTAACAAACAAAACAAAAATTCCTCTAAAGAAAGAATGAAAAGAAAAAAAGAATGCTTTACAGTTTCAAAGGATTAATTCTAAATTCTTAAAATTGTATAGCCTTAAAAAGATAAATAAAAATTTAAGCTCCATATCCCTAAAGAACCACGATTCTCCAAGAAATAAATAAAAATTCCAACTCTACTAATCTACTTCTTGAAAAGGGAAAAGAATAAAAATTCATACCTATCTATAAGAGAAACTCAACTTACATATTTCTAAAAATCCACAATTCCTCAAAGAATAAATAAAAATTCCAGCTTTAATGATCTATTTCTCAAAAAAGGGAAAAAATAAAAATTCATACCTATCTATAAGAGAAACTCAACTTACATATTTCTAAAAATCCACAATTCCTCAAAGAATAAATAAAAATTCCAGCTTTAATGATCTATCTCTCAGAAAAGGGAAAAAAATAAAAATTCGTACCTATCTACAAGAAAAACTCAACTAATATATTTTTACATATCCACAATTCTCCAAAGAATAAATAAAAATTCCAACTCCAATGATGCACTTCCTATGACAGAAACAAATGAAACTTCTATAGTTTTAAACGGATCAGCCAGATTTCTTCATGACTGCATCCATGCAGTAGTGCAGAGAACACGTTTATGCCTTTGGTGTCAGTGACTTCTCGATCGACTTGGTAATCCGCTGGTGTCGTGATATAAGCGTGCACAAACCTCCACGTAGAAGTTTGTCGTGAACTTGCTCCTCGATTCTTCAGCTTTCCTCAAGGTAAACTTGTGCTCACCGACACACACCGCTCGTAATGAGATCTACGATAATTAGGAAAACGAACAGCGTTCTTGGATAAAAGCTACACTCCTGTTCATAAGTATTGAGACTCTTTCACAAATCTGAAGCGAATGGGACGTTACAAAATTATTCAACTTCGAAACTCGTAATACATTTCTACTGATATGTGTTATTAAATCTGGTGAAGAAATGTAATTTAACCATTTCACTGCAGATCACTCGTTTCAGACACGAGTTCGAATTTTTATTTCACAATCACAACTAAATACATAGGTGCGCGGAGAATTTTTGAAGTTCTAGCATTTGAATAGCTTCGTTTCACAGTTGGTGGTACAATATTTTCGTTAAACAATCCGAAATTTCTATATAAAATTGTAAATATGCTGTTTTTAGAAAATATCGTAAAAGACCTTAACATACACATATACCGGGTGTCCCAAATTTTTTCGATTAAACTTTGCCAGTATATTCTATGGGTGTAAGTAAGAAGAAAATGTTATATGAACATAGGTCGTTTGAAGCTTTGTTAACAAGTTATAACGAAAATACGAAATACGAAGGGAATGGTAACGAACTTGCGGTTATTATGATAGAAAAAAACGAACGATACTGGGGAAAGTTACATTCAACACTTTCAACGATCTCAAATCGTAAACACAGTTCGCATAAACAGACTAAACAGGTGTACATACCGCTGATCTATTCCTATTTTGTATCATAACCTCACATCCGTTACCTTTCCCTTCGTATTTCGTATTATTGCTATAACTTCTTAACAAAGCTTCAAACGACATATGTTTACATCACATTTCCTTCTTATTTATACCCATAGAATACACTGGCAAAGTTTGATCGAAAAAATTTGGGACACCCGGTATATCGTTAAATGAAATAGTTACATTAAATTGAATTTGACGATATGATTTAATAAATAAAATTGTGGAAGTAATTTGCGAGACTACACGTCATATGATATACGATACTAACTTTGACGAAGAAATGTAATTTAAATCATTTAATACTTTCTGCACCAACGTAACAGGTGTCCTAATACTTATGGACAGCAGTGTACCATATCATTAACTCGTTACCTCGTGACAAAGTTGATAACTTGTCTAAATATATACCATTCGTATTTCTGTCGTTTGTAAATCACATCGATTGTGGAAGAAATTAGTATTCCTGGCAAGAAATAGCGTGAATCTGAGAATTACAATTTACATTTACTTTTATGCATTTATTTTTATTTAACCCTAGCGCGATGTCTTCGGGTCTCTTTGGAACCGTCGCCTTCTTATTCTTTTTGATAACTTCTGCTGTTATCAAGTTTATGTTCCCTTAACGTTACATTAAAAGTTTTTTGTGGCAGGTACATATGACGTGCTGGTAACAAAAATTATTACACATAAGATCTTTCGAGTTTTTTTTTTTTGACCCAAAAAATCTCAAGTGTGTAATCGAACGGAAGAACGAAGTAGGGTTAATCTCGGGAATTAAAATTTCTTTAAATAAAGTAGAATGAGATCATACAATTTCTTGTCAAGTTAACGGTGATTTTTAGTGTTTTAGTAATTAGTTACAATAATAATTTGTAAATAACACGAATTTTTTAAGAAAAAGGTAGTAAATTATATTATAAATTGTAACGGGTGACACAATTGGTCTCCTTTAATGCTGTAGAGGATTTTCCTAATTTCCAAATAGTGAATATTTCTTTGTTCGAAATTGAGACGCATAATTAGAGTAATAATGGGGGTTCTATGTAATAAAGAGGTAGATAATTAAAGTTAATTGGTTTCCATTGGTAAGAATGAAGGCAATACTGGAGGTAAATTAATCCTGTGCCATTTTCAATTGTAATAAACTTCTAGTGTAACAGGAAGAGAAATGATCTCGTTAGACTACCAGGGTAATAAAATTGATAATAAAGAATATGCAGAATACTTAAAGGTATAACATCATATTGCTCCAGTTGTAAATGCAATTAATATCGCTTTCTTTCTATTACATAATAGATTCTAATTAGATTTTTTTTTTTTTTAATACTAACGATATATTTCTCTTTTTTAATTACCACTACCTTATATAATAACTTATTTTCTCAAGTGAAATTTGAAAAGAGTGTGAAATAATTTAAGTTTATGTATTTATTATTCACGGTTAGGAAATGTCTCAAACTCATTTATGGCTGTGAATACATTAATGGTCATTGCTCCAGAAGTGACGTAAGATCTTTGTAGCGCTTTTGACACGAACTGTTTTATGGTTCCGTCATGGTTTTTACTGTTTGATGATGTTATTCAGCCTGTAGATGGAGTTTGATACTTCCTGAAGTGAATCACGATGTATCCTTTGTTGTAGAAGGAAAAGGAACTGAGGATTAGCATGATTTAGTTGAATAAAAGGTTTTCTTTGTAAGGTTTTTTTGGACGATGACAGAAATTTTCATGGAAAAGAGATATAAACGTTAGACGGGAAGTCATGAAAATCGTTTGATTTCCAAATTCGAAAATCTGGGGATTGGAGAATTTCAAAACTTATAAATTTGGAAATTTGAGGATTTGAAAATTCGTAAATTTGGGAATTGAGAGTTTGGAAATTCGCAAATTTGGAGACTCGATGATTTAAAAATTTACAGATTTGGTAATTGAGAATTTCAAATTTGCGAATTTGGAGATTGTAGACTTCCAATACTTGCAAATTGGGGAATTGAGGATTTCAACATTCACAAATTTGGGAACTGAAGGTTCAAGATTCGCAAATTTGGTAATTGTAGATTCAAAATTCGTAAATTTGGGAATTGAGAATTTAAGAATTTGCAAATTGGGGAACTTGATGATTTAAAAATTTACAGATTTGGTAATTGAGAATTTCAAATTTGCAAATTTGGAGATTGTAGACTTCCAATATTTGCAAATTGGGGAATTGAGGATTTCAACATTCACAAATTTGGGAACTGAAGATTCAAGATTCGCAAATTTGGTAATTGAAGATTCAAAATTCGCAAATTTGGGAATTGAGAATTTAAGAATTTGTAAATTTGGAGTTTGAGGATTTCAAGATTCGCAAATTGGAGATTGGAAAATTCCGATACTTGCAAATTTATGAATTGAAATATTCTAAAATTCACAACTCTTTGAATTCTCAGATTTGAAAATTCGTAAAATTCAAGCATTACGAAACTTTCAAACAGCACTTCTTATGCCACACTCATATCCAATTTTGTTTATTTCAATTCTTCCTCTTTCGAGAACACCTGAAAAGCCTGAAAATGAATGGACATACCTTGAACTTGCCGTGAGTTGTGACACGAAGAATCCAAGAAGTCTCGTTGATGTTACGAACCACTGACTCCAGCGTTCACCATGAAGATTGGGATCGTTGGTGCTCAACGGTAAAGCTACGAAGTCAAACAAGAAGCTTTACATTGCCATAGAGGTTCACGTCTTCTTTACTTCCGCTGAAAATTCATTTCCACCATTTCAACGCATCTCACGATATTTCTTTTTCTATTTTCAATTCTCATTTAAACCTAGCCTCCTAAACAGCCATAAATTTTCCCTCACGTACTCTTGTCTTAATTATATCTTCTTTAACAATGACAATACGATTTTTAGTTGTGCAACGAAGTAACAAAAAGCAGTGTTGTTATATGCAGACATGATTCTTTTTTTTTCAGTTCTCGGTTCAAGGTAAAGAGATTCTAATCCAATTTTATAGCGTAAATTCCGGTTCATCTCGTTTCAAGGTGGACTTCGCTTTATGACTGTCCTTAGTACAATTAGTAATCATTCTATTGGTACAATATTGAAATTATTACGGTTTTTATAAAAAAAAAAAAAAGAAAGAAACTGGTTAAACGAGCCTCGAAACTGTTTCTGCACTGAAAATTCCAAGAATCAAGCCTGAAATTCACGAAAGACAAATATCTGAGTTTCACTTATCGATGCCTCGAGACTAAACTTCAAAAATTTCTCTGTTCTTGTAAAATCCACGCTGCAATTACAAATACGTTTTTCTGTCGCTAAGAATTGAACGGGAAGATCGCAGGAAAAATTCACTTCCCGATAAAAATCATTCACCGATGAGAATATTTTGAATTCCAGCTAAGTCACACAATTTGAATAGCACAACTGGAACTGCTTTATTCGTGAATTGTTAATTCAATCGTTGTAACATTGAAGATAAGAGTCGAGAGGAAAGGTGAAGAAAAAATTCACTTTTTGTTGAAAATCATTCACCGATACGAAATATTCTAATTTGAGAATTAATCACACACCTTGTGACACTATTTTAAGCATACACTGTGCAAGTGAAATTGTTTTATCCACGAATTATTAGTTTAACGGTTGTATTGTTGGAACTAAGGGACAGGGAAGAGTAGAAAGCGAACATCAACTGATAATCACTGGAATCTAGCTTTCGAAAAGAGTGAAAATTGCACCGAAAACCACACTAGAGGAACTTTAGAGGATTCTCGAGAAGTATGAGAGGAAGTTCGATTGCTAGAGCAGCTTGAACTTAACTGAATACGGGTTTGAAAATCTTGACGCAAAAGCAGCCAGAGCAGCAAGGCCATCATCTTTATGCTCCTTCTCGATGTTGTCTGCTTTTTTGTCTAAACTGACTAAGAACGACCCGCTCACACGTTTAAATGAACCAAAATCATTCAAATTAATTTGTCGTTCAATTTTTCTTTATTCTCACTTTACTATCGATATTTTATCTGCTCACTGTATGTATTGTTTTGTATACAAGTGGGCCCATAATCGTGGAAATAAATAAATAAATAAAAAGAAAAGTCCACGTATGTTGTCAAATAAATATTCTACAAGTGAATTTATTTTGTGATATGAGCTGTTTAGAAATTAAGGCGATTAATTGCATCAAATGGAATTTGATAAATTTATTTTATTTATGAAAAATTGAGCAGTAATCGTGTATTTTGATATTACAATTAAAAAAATTGTAAAAAGTGGAGTTAATCACTCAAGGTGAGTGAAATAATGGGTGTTAGATGGATATAATGTACTTGCAAGTGATAAATTAGTGTTTAGGATAGAATTTGTTCGACATTATGGTAGTTGGTGATTTAGAAGTCGATTGGATCGAAGATTATACTGAATAAATTGTTCAATATTGTAATTTATTGAGTGATTCTATCTTTGTTCGATTAGACAGGCCTTATTTCATTGCTTACTAAGGAATAGTCATTTATGTTAGATTCTATCGAATAAAAATTATTATTGTGGACTATGATCTTGATATTTAGAATAAGATGAAGTGGAAATGGTAAGCAGACGATCAAGTCAAGTGATTCAGCATGTTGTTTAAGAGAAAATGCGTCACAGATTGCATTAAAAATAGAATTAAATCATTTTTCCAATATTTCAATTTTTTAATTGTTCAAAGGAAACATTAAATAATTCAGAATTTTAATTGGTAAATTTGAATTTGGAATTTTCAATTTTGAACATTTAATATCCTTTCTTAATTGTTCAAAAGAAAAGTAAGAAAATTCAGAATTATTGGAATTTTCAGTTTTGAATATTTAATATTCTTTATTAGTTGTTCAAAGGAAAAATGAGAAAATTCAGAATTTTAATTATTAAATTTGAAATTGGAATTTT